AGGCCGCCTGCGGGCGGGGACACGATCACCACAGCCGCGCTCGCCTGCCGGCTCCAGAAATAACGGTGCTGTGTGCCCCATCCTCAGGCGAGGGGACAGAAACCTGCTGGAGCTCGGAGAGCAAGAGGACAGACAGCATTAAATACAAATAGCGGGTTTTTTTAACCCAAGCTTCCTCACATCAGCCCGGCCGAGGGACACGGGTTCTTTTGCGCCATCCCCGCAGCCCAGGCCCAGGCCCACTGGCAACCGCATGACGTGGCGTGATGGGACGTGCTGACGCCGCTGGAGGTCACCGGGTGTTTTGCGATCGATATAAATTAGTTGAGGTTGAACATCCTTGCAACGAGGGAAATGTCATCCCCGGAACTTGACACGGGGCTTTTATGGCTGAAGGGTAACTGAGAGGGCACGCGAACGCACCCTGTAATTCATTCCAAAAGCGTGTTTGGTTACAAGCCCGTGTCACAGCCCCATGGGCCTGCAGCAGCCAGTGCTTCCAAACGGCTCCGAAGGATTTGCCTACTTCCACCCGCTGCACAGAAGCACAGATTCAGCTTGGGATGAGTTTGCACATGAAAACTAAACTCAAACTTACAGCCAGGCTTCGGTTAAGGGTAAAAGCCTGTGAACTAAAGGCGTGGTTTTTTAAGCCAAAAAGAAAAGATGAGCTCTTGTCCATCAGCATAGCACCAAAGCCTCCCAGGGGGAAAGGCGAGATAAATACTTGTATTTCTTTTTAGGAAATACAGTAATACTCCTCCCCTCACAGAGTGAGTTCTTGCTTTCAGTTTAATAGCGAAGCTTCAGGACTATGTGGGGCATATGAATATAGTGCTTCAGATGCTAATACCCCTTTTTTACCGTGCTTATTCAACCTACCAGTGGACCAAGCGGCATTTTCAGCTTGGACACAATTTTCCTTCTCCTGGCCCAGGACCGCATGTGGTTGCCAGCTCTCGGCTCTGTGCCATCAGGCTAGCGTCCCACCTACTGCAGCCCTGGATGGTGTCAGGTCTCGGGTGACAATATTCCAAACCTTGAAAATGAGGGAGAGCTTTCTGGCAGCGTACCTCCATCTGAGACACTTGGGTGGTTTTCATCCCAACATAGTATTCTTCCTACCACAACACAAATCAAAAGGTTTGCACAAAATTGCATTCTTTTTTACGGTGACTGTAAGTAATCTATTAATGGAACACCAACGAACTCCCAAGAATTACAGATAGTCAGGCTTTATCTTACCTAACTCACAATGGATGTGCTCTCCCCATGCTTATGTACCACAGAGAAGGCACATTTCTTACTATGCCTGCCAGTTTTGTTACAAAAATGTTCAGTGGCTTACATTTTTTCTGATTTTTCAAGCCAAATGTCTGTTTTCAGGAAAAAGTCTAGTAAAAAAACACATTGTTTTGCATCTATTCAAAAACCTTGGATGTACTAGAAAAGCTCTCTCTGTTAGGGAAGGAGCTGAAATTTGGCAAAGGGGGATTTTCAAAACACGAGTCTTCTGTTGCACCCATGAATAAACACCCGAACTCGGTGGTCATTTGTGTGTCTTGGATTTCAGCAGCTGGACTTCACCTCTCCCCAGATTTCAGGCACACTGGGCAAGCTCCTTCATGGCAAAAGGAGGAGCGAAAGAGGACACGGACTGGGACAAAGAGGCAATGCCAGGACCTTCACCGAGACCAAGGCTTCTGCTCGAGTACAATCCTGACACATCCTTACAGCTATGGCACCCTGTGTGTTCAACAGCGCAAAGGCGAGGTAGAAGAAAAAGCAACAGGCGTTCAAGTCTCGCAGGCAGCTTTACCCTACACCTGTATTTGGGATGTGAGACTTGGTAATTTTTGTTTTCTCAACATGGCTGCAGCTGAATATTTAAAAATATGACCACTTGAAGCAGCAAATATACATTTTAGTGTTAGGCATATCTCAAAGGCCAGCTCTAAGTAATCAAACTTGCACTCATTGTTACTGTGGTATTTTTTCCACTAATTAGAACAAGCTTTTGTGGTATGAAAAAACAAGATGAAAGGCAAGAAGATTTATCTGCCTCAGATCATTTAAGTAACACTGAAGAATTCCACATTTTTCAGCTTCAAAGTAGTTAAAAGTTGTTAGCTAACGATTCCTTCCAGCAAGCCTTCAAGATAAGCAGGTATTTTTGCTGCATTTTTACCGATGGGGAAAAGGAGCCATTGACATCCCTAGGCCATGCAGGGAACCTGGGCGAGAGCCAGCTCCAGAACGTGGTGGCTTTTGGGCTGCCAATTCCTCATGGTCAGGCCACACCTCTCTCTTAAATGCTAAACAATACACACAGAGTCACAGGCAGAACACAGATAAAAATAGCATGCAATGCAAGGCAGCGCATCAGTCCTTTACTTTGAGGTGTTACAGGAACAATCTTCATTTGTCTTGGTCCAAAACCACACTCTGTTGAGCTGGCGTATCTAATAGGGAATGATATCGCTAATTCACACTGCGCTATTTCTGCTACCTTAAGAGATCACACCGCGGAGGTACAGAAGCATAAAAATGCCACTCCAGCCCCAAAGTAAGCCGTGGTGTCTCATACACATAAATGACATCATTAAAAGATATAACCGTCTTAAGGACTCTGTGAAGATGCCCAGGTGTCCCAGCCCTGCTAGTCTGTCAGCGTGAATAAAGCGTGAACCAGGCCTGCCGTCAGAAACTGCGCTTGCCCTCGCGCGCCAACCCTGCACCGAGGGACCTGACTGTGCTGCCGCTGTCCTCGTTCTGTTCATGACATGGCAGAGAATACAACAGCCATGGAAGCAGTCAGTACCACGCAGTTTATGACTGACTTAATATAGAATACTTCAGGTTTCATTACAACAAAGAAAATAATCCATTTTGCTCAAGGAATCACATCCAGGAACTAATAGACCAGGACATAGCAGACTGTGGTCAAAATCTGCTCTGAACATATCCAGTCACCTTGAAAGCTAAATACTTAGAATGAACAGAATGGCCAAAAAAAAAAAAAAGAAAAAAAGGCATCAGATGTCTTTTTCAGGTAAAAGCAACTTAGAAGTCTGCAAAATAACAGCAACTGACATTTAAATGTTTTAACCCTCGACGTATGCAGAGCCTTTGAAAGTACACAGAAGAGAAGATACGGGTGCTGGAGGGCAAGGGGAGGATGCAGACCTAGCAGGATAACTGCGTCTTATTTGTCACAGAATAATGAATAACAATCACCATTCCACAAAAAGTTTCCTTTATGAGTACTCTCAAACTGATTTCCATGTGCAACAGAGGGAAAAAAAAATTAGCGGCTTACTATTTATACATACATAGCTACAACTCCTTTCCTCCCCTCTTCTCGTATTTGAGTGAAAGGATAAGAACAATTCAGTTACTAGCAGCATTTTCAGCTCATTAAAAAGTAACATGCCTCTATTTTCTGACACCTTGCAATTCGTGCAGTCTTTTTGCCTTAATTCGAATATATGGGACTTGCCTGCAATAAGCAATACACATCTCATGTTGAAATTCAGAAACCGCAGTATCCTGAAAGGGTGAGCATTATTTTTTTTTTTTTTTTTTTTAAATTTGAATAAAAGTCACACCATACAGTGGCCTCCTGACTCTCACAAATCCTGCCTGCATTCTGAAGTCCACGCAGGCATGAACACACTCAGTCTATTGCCGCCAGATTCAATTACGCTTCGGGGGGGCGAGGGACAAACGCAACAAGCCCGCGGATTTTCAGTGAGATCTGTACAAGGTGTACCACACCACTGCAACGCCGGGTGCGAGTCACCTCACACTGTGTCGCTGAGCGAGGCACCAGGAGAACAAACAGCATTTCTGTTGACAAGGGAGAAGGGGTAAGGCGGCTGGTCTGGTAATGCTGTCAATAGGCATCTTCAGCCAGAATTTAAGAGATATTAAAAAAAGCCCAGAGAAAAAATAGTTAGGTTTTAAAGTATTAACTTTATTAATAAATATACATCCATATGATGATGTAAATACAGATCATGAACACTACTCCATTCCCATACACATAATTGCACACGAGTAGCTCAAGTTCATGGACATAAAAACATACACAGTATCTAATCAGGCTTTTTACAGCAGAGAATGGGGTGCTGATACTAGTTATTTAGCAGATTACTGTTTCCCCCAAAGTAAACCTGTGGAAAAGCAAGTGATGAAAGATTAAAGTATCAGAAAGTGGTTCAAATTTCAGAATACAGATTTATCTATTTGGGGAAAAAAAAAAAAATCACAAGGAGAAAGTTCTAGTCTACTAAAGTCATAAATATATTTAAGCAGTGTTAAAATATATGCATTAAAATAGAGAAGAATAAACTTCTTTTGTGGTCAGAAATGAAGTCGGCAGTTCAAAGCATTTATGATTGTTATCAACTGTTTTAACTGTCAACTCTAAGGATAGTGTGAAACATTATTATACATATAACAAAGAACAGCAGAGTCACAGCTAATGAAACCATCGGACAAATGACTTCACATTGCTCTGCCTTTTAAAGCTCTTCAAAAATGGGGGAGGGAGTTAAATTCTCATCTGAATTACTCTCTGTATCATAGCTCCAAGTAATTCTTTTCACAGACACATCACTTTTCACTGACAAGGCTTGGTTTTGTCCTGACTCAACTCTTCAAGATCTTGCAGACAAAATGAGAATATATTTGTTCAGAACAGAGATCTTCAATGGCTCTTGACACACAGTTATGTTGGTTAGTTTAGCCTAAATCCGAGATAGAAAGAACGTTGCTTTAACGACAAAGCTAACTGCCGATTTTAAAAATACTATCTTTGATATCAAAGTTAGCCACTTCTGATGGTATCTGATTTTTTTTCTGCCAAAATATGGTGAATATGTCCAGTGCAAGACTTTATAGTAGCAAAATTATTTGGCTTTAAAGTTTAAGTAAATTTAATCAGAAACTGAATAATAGTTACTATATGTATATTAACCAGTGAACTTGTATAGCATCACTAAGGAATAATAGCAAGCTAATACATTTCATTTATGTATAAATAAGATGTTAGAAACTTGATAATTAAAAGCAATTATTAAAAAACAAACTTGACATGTAGATCTTCTCAACAGTGTTAACACGCAACAGTGATCCTAGCTTATGAATAGCTGAATGATGATATATAATATAAAATAAGCAATTTACCTTACAAGTAATGTTCTCATACTATGGGGGGAAAAGGCCAGTTTTCCCATCGGTGCTAATAAACTTTAGGCATTAACATGCTGTTTCAGTGTTTGCCACGGAAAGAAAAGTGTTGAAAAAAGCACAATGTATTCTGCAGATTATACAGAGGAAAAGCAGAAGTATTTGAAAATTCCATTTCTCGGTCACTTCGAATCCTTAACATCTTTTTTTCTTCCCCTCACTGCACGGCACCAGTAAACTGGAGTCAGATAGAAAACAAACCAGAATTCGGAAATGCCCAGCAGGGCACTTCTGGTCTCCTTGCTAGATCTGGAGTGCCAGGCAGCCCATTAGACTCTCTGAACACTTTTCTACCTTATGCTCATCATTCCACAATTGACGACATTAATTGTTTTTTACTGGGATTATATTCCATCTGATATAATTAATAAACACCGTAATGAACAGAAACTGCTTAGATGATTTCATTATTTCATCAGCATACTTGAATACAAAATTCATTACACTAGCAGAACAGCAATACATCTGCATCATCTCCTGACACACGGCACAGCACCATTGAGTAGATGCACAAGTGAGAAACGGAATGGGAGCAAACAGGATAAACAGGAGGAGGTAAGAAGTGGAGCTTCTCCAAGGTACAGTGGTGACATGCAACACGTTCCTTGCCAGCGAGGTGCGACACTCCTGCGGTTACTACATTCAGCCGAAGAGGACTGCTTTCCCAGCTGAGTTCAGGAAAGAACTTAAAGCAGTCTTTTGTTGAAAAAAATCATCTGATTAAAAACAGCCAATACAACACAGATCCTGAGGGTGAATTAACTCACGTTAGCATTTTGCATGTGTCAGAAGTTACATCGTTCTGAGATAGATTGCTAAATTGCAGACTTGCGAGTTTGCTGAGGAACAGAACGTATAACTGGATTTCATAGCTTCAGCATGAAGAAACTATTTTTTAGTAGCAGTTTAGCTGCCATTAGTTCATCTATCGACTAGGGAGCCATCCAGTATAGTTGAGGTTCATTGTCTTAGTTGCCAGTGCATACACAGTTCCCCCAAAACAATTCAACACACCTATTGTAAAGTACAGCATAAAGTCCAGCTCAATATGTGTTAGGCATCACTGGAACACCTGAAGGCTTGCTGCTTTTTTCCTGATAAAAAAGGTATGAAACATGACATCTGTGTCTTAAGTTGTCATCACTGAAATCAAGAGTTCTCATCTAAATGACAGCAGGCCAGAACAGCATTTATGTTAGCAAAAATTATCAGCATCATAACTCATTCAGCACAAGCTCAATTATCCCAAATTTTTCTGCTCCCCCAAAATCTGTGAACTCTATATATTCTCCCCCCTCCCCCGATATTTGAAGCTACAAACTTATCATGTCATATTGTATGTGAAACAGCTTAAATGTAAACTTTCTTCCAGATGGGGGAGGAAAAAAAAAAGCTTTAATTCCAGTAAAATAAATTTAGAACAAACAATACACAACATTGAACACTGATTTTTTTTTGAAGTCTAGATTAAAGTATTTTACACATACACTCACGCACTCACTCAGACTTAAAAAAAAAAAAAAAAATTAAACACACCCAGTTGAAAAACTGAACATTTCTTTTGGAAGGAGGGAAGGTTTTAGTCTGAGCCAAGGAAAGTACTTATAGTTAACCAACAACATTTTTTTTCAGCTTGCATGCATAGATGAATTACTTCGTATCTGGGGTCTAGCAGTGCAGCGTACTGCATCCTGTTTGCATCAGCTATACAGTTTGCTTTTATAAATCGTGAAAATGGTGTCCTTTGGTAGATATATAAGCTTCCATAACTTAAATATACTATAAGTGTCAAACAACAAAATAACTATTTCCAGGAATATCTGGCAAAACTAAGTCTGAAAACTTGGCAACAGTGACTATTTAAAAAGTTTAATTTGTAAACATTATAGATCAATATTTTAAAAGCTATTAAACTGTCGCCACCTAAGCACAGATTTTGAAGGCAAAACCCAGTGTAAATCGCTATTTACAGATTTAAGAACATACTGTTTAATATTAACCAAGTGCGTAACTAGAATGAACAGTACTTAATTTCTTATAAAATATTTCAAATTTCAAATAATTATTTGTGGTTTGGTATATGTACTATTAGGCATTTCAAAATTACACAGCAGAATCCTGCAACAGCATAACTAAAAGAACAGCTATCACCTAAAGGCAAATTAGCTTGGATTAATAAGGCGCTGTGAAGCCGTAACGCGCTGTACAAATTCTCCGTTTTCTTTAATATTTTCAAAAAGTATTTCTGGAGCATTAGTTGAAATTGTCTTACTGCTACAACTCCAGAAACAAAAGCCACCTGAAACCAGCACTTTAGAAAAAGGTTTGAGTTTTTCTGTTTGTTTTTTTTTTAAGCATCTATTTGAGGTCTGTAGAAGCTTCTGCAGAAGTGGAAAATGTAGCTTGCTGCTTTATCAATTTTTCTTACCAAGTAAGAACTCATGTGGCTAAGTTCCTTATTGTGGGATAGGCCACATGATGAACCAACAGCCAGCTAATTCTGTCCTCCTCATTATTTAATGCATAACCACACAACTAGATTTACCAGAAATGGAACATAAAACTAGGGACATGGACATTACTTAAGTATTGACACCAAGGCATATGCATCACTTCAGACTTTCTTATAAATTATGATTTAAAACCAACAAACCCCCCTTTAAACCAGTGCCTTCTCAACATTGCTTTAGAAGTTACTGAATTGCACCCGTAGGCTATGGCATTATTTGGATAAAAATAAAATCCAGAAATTCAGACTTAGGCAAACACTACGACAAAACGCAAGAAACGTGCCAAAATTCGGAGTAAAGCAGATTAGTAAGGAGTTACTAATTCCCCCCTTTCATTCATTAGGCTGTTTCATTTTGCTACTAGTTTCACCAGCAGCGTGTACTCCTCTGTTATGCACCATAGGATAGGGAAAAGCTGCACTGCCACAAGTATAATTTAGATTTGCAAGCCGTGATAGAGCTTTAATGCTACCTGGAGGTCTGCCTGGGCTGACTTTGTATCCCGCTGCTTTAGTTGTACCCAAGGGTCTGCCTGGACTTGTCTTAAATCCAGCTGCTTTGGTGGTCCCCAGGGGTCGACCTGTGCTGGTTCGGTACCCTGCTGATTTTGTGGTCCCTGATGGCCTTCCACGTTTACCAGATCGGTTGAGGTTTTTCTTTTTCTTTAGTTCGTCTTTTGTCTCTATATTCCTGCCACTTGTGGTCTGCAAGTGCGATTCGTTCAACGCATCTTGTCTCTGGCATGCAATTGGTTTGTGGCTGACTGCGTGGCTGTATTTACTTTGCTGCGTGGCGTACAAGTCAAACTGATCGGCAGATCTCACATTGTCTTCGTTAAGGCAAGAACTCTTGCCGGTCCCACAGAAAGCTGTATTGCTGCTGGCAACAGGGTGCATCATTTTCTACCAAAAATAAGAGAGACAAATAGGTATCAATATATAATAATACTGCAGCGTTCCACAAGTGAGAATCTTTCAAAAGCTACCTCTATTTCTTACAATTAGTCCAAATTACTTTGTCTATTTTTAGTAAACAGTACTGATGTCAGTGAATTACTTTTTTTTAAATGGGAAGTTTTATTAATCTTTCACTTCAGGTTTTCCATAGTACCCTTTACACATAGTTAAAAATGACAATTTAATGCATTATTCAGATAGGTATGATTGGGGAAGAAGTACGTTAATGAACCGAACAAGAGCATTTCAACAACCAAGACATACAATAGCCGCTCACCCACCGCGATTTCAAAACCTTTCTAACCAAATCTTATCTAGATTCTAGCCGTTCTAGTTGCAAGATTAACCTATCACCTGTGAGCCAAGGAAAAATACGGTGTCACTCTCTAGATTTAGTAGATGTAGGCTCCTAAAGACTTTTTTTTTTGTTTAACTGCAGCAAATTAACAAAACACTAATCAGTTTTGTCATTTCTTGTCACAACTGATGTGAAAGAAAGAAACAGGTAAGGCACTCAGCAAAGACAGCGGTGCCACAGCTGGGAAAGCAGAGGTACAAAATTAATCTATTATGAAGTAAAAGATGCTAGATTGCAGAAACGCCACTGCTGTCCTAGTTAGAAAAGCAGGTACAAATTGCTGGCATGCCAACTCTTGAGATAACAACTTGGGGAAAAAAAACCCCACGACTCCTGGTACAGGCGTGCACGTTATCACACATCTCCAAATATTCTGGAAAACAAATGCGGCCCGTTGAGGTCAACAACTGTTCTACATAGCCTGCTCGTTTCGTTAGGCAAAACCAACTTGAGCTGTGCTCTCTTTACAGAGGTTTACTCCTTTAAACAAGAATCAAAGCCCTATCTTCAGGATGGCAGAAGGGTGACTCTCACCTGCGCGTTACTGCAGGCTAATCCCGGTTCCAACAGACAAACTGACGCCCAGCTGCTAGAAGCCACGGATGGTCACCCTCATAATTACAAGCAACAGTTTCTAAATAAATCGATTATGCTTGTATCCATCATACCAAATGCCTGCAGCATGTGTCCTGGGGCAGAATCACAACAATTAACAATGTGACTGGTATTCTTTTTTACTATTAATGCTTCTAAATAACAACCGCACAGATACTCCCTCGGGTTTCTTAATAGTAGCAATACCCTATGAAGCCAACAAGCGGGTCAAGGAGCAACGGGATGGTATTTTCAGCCATTCAACTATAGTGGTTCTACAACTTAAACATGCTGCAAATACTCCATTTAAGGTAATAATATTTAGTCATGCTGAAGACAAGATTAAGCCAATCAATATCTGGCACATCAGAGTATTTCTGCACCCTGTAGTCATGCTTAGGACACCGAATGTTTCTTCCTGCGGTAAATTTCTCTAGTAGATAAGGTGTGGAAGATTTATTGTGTTTTCCCAGCAGTAGCTCTGAAATATCACCTACAGCAACCCAATTTAAATTCTACCATTGATTACTGAATTTATTTGGCAGTTATGAATGTCTCCTCCCAGCCAGAGGGAAAGCATACAGCAGAGACGGTTTATTTACCCAGGAGTAAATCCCTGTGCCCTTTTCTTCTGATTACAATGGATACATTCCCTGCTGTAACACCCCATTTACCTTGGCTTGTCAAATGCGCATTACAGTGTATGCATTACTCTTGTGCAAATAGATGAATATGGTTTTATGTCAAATTGTGAAATTATGATAGTAATATAGTTTAAATATTAGACGGTTCTAGCAGAGATTATCCAAGTGCTACAATTCTGGTGTGTTAAATGGGGTACAGTGGAACAAATGTGAAACCACTGTTATTGCAGGTGTTGACTAGCAAATGAAACAACGGAGAATAATTAGCAAGGCAGCGCTTAGCAAAGAACAAAGGAAGTAAGCTACAGGTCAAGAGACCAGACAGACTTTTCTGCGTGGTAATAAAAAGGAAGCTTAAGGTCTTCTACAATTAGCAACGAAAAAAAACGTTACCTTCCTCTAACCCCGCTAGAGTAGGGCCCACAATATAACAAAAAATACCTGAGATTTTTCATGGTACGTAATTGCAAACATAAGGGTTCTGACAATGTACTCTTGCTGCCGAGAGAGTAAGCCCAGCGGCTCTGCAAGGCCGTTCATCTGTTTGTGGATACACTAGAGGACACTTGGAGCCGTGAGCAGCATTCTTGTCTCGGTACTCACTTTAAACACAGGAATACTGGCTTCAGCCCCAAAAAGCTGCTCTGAGCTTGACTGCCACAAAGAAGGATCAGTTCAGCTGCCCAGTATCCGAGGAACACACCAGACCAGGGAGAAGGCACTGAATAAAATGAGGGCCCCTGGTATTTCTCAGGAGCCCAACCACCATTCAGACTCATTCCTGTCTACGTTACGTTCCTATTCTCTGCTTTTTCGCCTCATTACAATCAGGGGGATTTTTCCTGCAGACACCATCCATCTTTCCTGGGGAGAACCATCGCAGGTACTCCTAGACAGTGACTATATCCTGCTGGAACTGGCAAACATTGGAGCTTCATCACCATAGGCATGTGTTTTGTGTCTACCGCAATATCCCTCAGAGCTCTTGACAAACGCTAACTTTACGTACAAAACCGGGCTGACGCTAGTTTACCTTCCATCTGGCAACAGCCAGTATCACTCTAATTGATGAAAGAAGAAAGATGTACAAATCAGTAACTGTTTAAAATTTCTTACAAGAGGAGGAAGCTTAAAAAAAAAACCAAACGCAAACCACAATCTTGGTGGAAGACTGCCAGCAGGATTTTCCCCCCCCCTCTCTCTGCACCGTTTTTCATCAAACCATGAAAATTTCAAGTAGTAGCCAAAGTTTGTATTCTGTGTTTTTTAATCGAAGACTTTTTTTCAAAAAGTTTTAAAAAGGAAATCTGTAATTGAGCTTAATTACCCAACACGGCCATCTCCAGCATCATTTTACTTTGTTCACATTACAGTGGGGAATAAAAGAATGTAGTGAGTCTATCTATAGAGTGGAAGCAGGTTTCTTGGCAGGGAGATACACAGTATAAATGAGAGTTGGTATAAAATGCAAAACGACGCCAATTTAAAAATCACACTCCAGATAGATTGCATAGCCAAACACACACAACTTTGTGTGCAAGTATTCTCAAATAAAACCATCCAGAAAAGTTTCCAGCGGAATGGAACTTACTTGTTTTAAACCTGTCAATAGATACGTAAAAGATATTTGCAACAGTTTACTTAAATCAGTTTTTAAACTGATTCAACTGACTGGTTGAATGTCTCTGTGTAAACAAATAGTTAAGATGAGGCATCGTATTAATGGAATTTAGTCGTATTTCAAAAAGATTTTTACTGGAAAGTGGCTGTAGAGGATTTTCTGTACGGCTCCTTTTCTGTCTGGTAATTTATTTCTGTACAAATGCTGGGGAAGGGAGGAGACAACTGGATAAGCTAGCTTTGGGAAAAGAGGGGCAGTGGTAGTGCTTCCCACGGAATGAAGCACAGAAGCTCCACCACTGCCAGAAAAAAAGAAACAGAACCACTCATCTGGGACTGCAAAGCTTTGCTGCGCAGGGGCATTTCTGGACATGGTAACGACCCCTCCTTTTAAAGCAGAACTGCACTGCCACTCTCCAAGTACCTGCAAAGTTAACCCACTCTAGCACTAGCGAGGCAAGTTTGGAGTTTTGTTTTGCTCAGGTAACAGCCAGGCGACTGGTCAGTCAATACACGATGTGTGAGGCTGTCATTAAGGTTTTTTGTATTTCGCAGTCAAGCTTGATATTGTTTGCTTTCTTCTGCTGGGAGACGAAACAGAAACCATATTATAGGCAATGCAGACTGTATAATAATTCCAGTGTTATTACAGGTTTTGGACAGAGTGCATCCTTGTATCCCTAAAAACAGGTTAACATACCACACAGTTCTAGCTTACAACTGCTAAGGCCTCTCTTACGGGTATGGCCCATCTCTCTCTAGGCTTGAAATTACACAGAAAATCCCCATTTGTGTCTTGCTCACTACACAAAACTTTAAGATTAAAGGTACTCACATCATGTTACATAAAAACACCCTCTGGGGCTGTGACATGATGCTGTCTTCAGCTTTCAAACATCACGCCCTTTGCCTTCTTCATGGGGAGAATTTAGTTGCCACAAGATGGAAACTTTCAAGCCCACTGAACGGGCACGTGCTCGTTAAATAAGCAGAATTTAGCTGCCACCGTAGACAAGATGGAAACTTTCATGAGCAGAGAAAGTACGCAAGCCCACTGAACGGGCACGTGCTCGTTAAATATTTTACACTGCGTACTGGACCTGTGACCCATTAGCTGCATTAAGCAGAATAATCAATTCCAACACAAGAAGCAGGCAACTGCTCTGGTCTCACCCAGCCCAGCCTGCTTTCTGTAACTACAGCCTGGTTAGCACCAGAACAGACCTGACTCAGCAAGCGCTTTTGATTTCTGGTAACGTGCGCCTGAATCAGAGCAAAACTGAAAGCACATCTATATTAAGCTTTTCAAATGATGAGTATCAGGAGAGGTAAACTCCTATCGCCAACAGGGACAATTATGCTTTTAATGAGGGTTAGTATATAAAACCCACTCATTTTTCTGAAGTTTTTCACTGCCGAGTTTGCAATAGTTTCAACAGTACTGACTGAGCTGTAGGAGGCTGCAGCAGTCCATTTTCATCACCATCCAACACACAGAAAGTATATGACACACCACTTAAAAACACAAGCAGCTACAACTATTATTTCTGCACTAGTACTCTGAACATCACTTCCACCGATTAAAACCGTTGGAGCGGAGCACAGGAGCAGCTCTGTTCGAGGTCTCTGCATAAAGAACGCTATATGCCACGTACGACAGCGCAGGGGCTGCAGGCCCTGGGGAATACCAAAGGGCTCATTTGCTTTGCGGGGGGAAGTTTAAGGAGCAG